GTTCTTACAACAGCAGGGGAAGGATTAGGTGTGTCAGAGGGCGAGTTCTTACAACAGCAGGGGAAGGATTAGGTGTGTCAGAGGGCGAGTTCTTACAACAGCAGGGGAAGGATTAGGTGTGTCAGAGGGCGAGTTCTTACAACAGCAGGGGATAGATTAGGTGTGTCAGAGGGCGAGTTCTTACAACAGCAGGGGAAGGATTAGGTGTGTCAGAGGGCGAGTTCTTACAACAGCAGGGGAAGGATTAGGTGTGTCAGAGGGCGAGTTCTTACAACAGCAGGGGAAGGATTAGGTGTGTCAGAGGGCGAGTTCTTACAACAGCAGGGGAAGGATTAGGTGTGTCAGAGGGCGAGTTCTTACAACAGCAGGGGAAGGATTAGGTGTGTCAGAGGGCGAGTTCTTACAACAGCAGGGGATAGATTAGGTGTGTCAGAGGGCGAGTTCTTACAACAGCAGGGGAAGGATTAGGTGTGTCAGAGGGCGAGTTCTTACAACAGCAGGGGATAGATTAGGTTTGTCAGAGGGCGAGTTCTTACAACAGCAGGGGATAGATTAGGTGTGTCAGAGGGCGAGTTCTTACAACAGCAGGGGATAGATTAGGTGTGTCAGAGGGCGAGTTCTTACAACAGCAGGGGATAGATTAGGTGTGTCAGAGGGCGAGTTCTTACAACAGCAGGGGATAGATTAGGTGTGTCAGAGGGCGAGTTCTTACAACAGCAGGGGATAGATTAGGTGTGTCAGAGGGCGAGTTCTTACAACAGCAGGGGATGGATTAGGTGTGTCAGAGGGCGAGTTCTTACAACAGCAGGGGATGGATTAGGTGTGTCAGAGGGCGAGTTCTTACAACAGCAGGGGATGGATTAGGTGTGTCAGAGGGCGAGTTCTTACAACAGCAGGGGAAGGATTAGGTGTGTCAGAGGGCGAGTTCTTACAACAGCAGGGGATAGATTAGGTGTGTCAGAGGGCGAGTTCTTACAACAGCAGGGGATAGATTAGGTGTGTCAGAGGGCGAGTTCTTACAAGGGCAGCAGGGGATGGATTAGGTGTGTCAGAGGGCGAGTTCTTACAACAGCAGGGGATAGATTAGGTTTGTCAGAGGGCGAGTTCTTACAACAGCAGGGGATAGATTAGGTGTGTCAGAGGGCGAGTTCTTACAACAGCAGGGGATAGATTAGGTGTGTCAGAGGGCGAGTTCTTACAACAGCAGGGGAAGGATGAGGTGTGTCAGAGGGCGAGTTCTTACAACAGCAGGGGATGGATTAGGTGTGTCAGAGGGCGAGTTCTTACAACAGCAGGGGATGGATTAGGTGTGTCAGAGGGCGAGTTCTTACAACAGCAGGGGATGGATTAGGTGTGTCAGAGGGCGAGTTCTTACAACAGCAGGGGAAGGATTAGGTGTGTCAGAGGGCGAGTTAGGTGTGGTGTGTCAGAGGGCGAGTTCTTACAACAGCAGGGGAAGGATTAGGTGTGTCAGAGGGCGAGTTCTTACAACAGCAGGGGAAGGATTAGGTGTGTCAGAGGGCGAGTTCTTACAACAGCAGGGGATGGATTAGGTGTGTCAGAGGGCGAGTTCTTACAACAGCAGGGGATGGATTAGGTGTGTCAGAGGGCGAGTTCTTACAACAGCAGGGGATGGATTAGGTGTGTCAGAGGGCGAGTTCTTACAACAGCAGGGGAAGGATTAGGTGTGTCAGAGGGCGAGTTCTTACAACAGCAGGGGAAGGATTAGGTGTGTCAGAGGGCGAGTTCTTACAACAGCAGGGGAAGGATTAGGTGTGTCAGAGGGCGAGTTCTTACAACAGCAGGGGATAGATTAGGTGTGTCAGAGGGCGAGTTCTTACAACAGCAGGGGATTGATTAGGTGTGTCAGAGGGCGAGTTCTTACAACAGCAGGGGAAGGATTAGGTGTGTCAGAGGGCGAGTTCTTACAACAGCAGGGGATAGATTAGGTGTGTCAGAGGGCGAGTTCTTACAACAGCAGGGGAAGGATTAGGTGTGTCAGAGGGCGAGTTCTTACAACAGCAGGGGAAGGATTAGGTGTGTCAGAGGGCGAGTTCTTACAACAGCAGGGGAAGGATTAGGTGTGTCAGAGGGCGAGTTCTTACAACAGCAGGGGATAGATTAGGTGTGTCAGAGGGCGAGTTCTTACAACAGCAGGGGAAGGATTAGGTGTGTCAGAGGGCGAGTTCTTACAACAGCAGGGGAAGGATTAGGTGTGTCAGAGGGCGAGTTCTTACAACAGCAGGGGAAGGATTAGGTGTGTCAGAGGGCGAGTTCTTACAACAGCAGGGGATAGATTAGGTGTGTCAGAGGGCGAGTTCTTACAACAGTAGGGGATAGATTAGGTGTGTCAGAGGGCGAGTTCTTACAACAGCAGGGGATAGATTAGGTGTGTCAGAGGGCGAGTTCTTACAACAGCAGGGGATAGATTAGGTGTGTCAGTTCTTACAACAGCAGGGGATAGATTAGGTGTGTCAGAGGGCGTGTTCTTACAACAGCAGGGGATTGATTAGGTGTGTCAGAGGGCGAGTTCTTACAACAGCAGGGGATAGATTAGGTGTGTCAGAGGGCGAGTTCTTACTCCAGCCTGGGAAGTAGTCTAGGTGTGTCAGAGGGCGAGTTCTTACAACAGCAGGGGAAGGATTAGGTGTGTCAGAGGGCGAGTTCTTACAACAGCAGGGGAAGGATTAGGTGTGTCAGAGGGCGAGTTCTTACAACAGCAGGGGATAGATTAGGTGTGTCAGAGGGCGAGTTCTTACAACAGCAGGGGATAGATTAGGTGTGTCAGAGGGCGAGTTCTTACAACAGCAGGGGATAGATTAGGTGTGTCAGAGGGCGAGTTCTTACAACAGCAGGGGATAGATTGGGTGTGTCAGAGGGCGAGTTCTTACAACAGCAGGGGATAGATTAGGTGTGTCAGAGGGCGAGTTCTTACAACAGCAGGGGAAGGATTAGGTGTGTCAGAGGGCGAGTTCTTACAACAGCAGGGGATAGATTAGGTGTGTCAGAGGGCGAGTTCTTACAACAGCAGGGGATAGATTAGGTGTGTCAGAGGGCGAGTTCTTACAACAGCAGGGGAAGGATTAGGTGTGTCAGAGGGCGAGTTCTTACAACAGCAGGGGAAGGATTAGGTGTGTCAGAGGGCGAGTTCTTACAACAGCAGGGGATAGATTAGGTGTGTCAGAGGGCGAGTTCTTACAACAGCAGGGGAAGGATTAGGTGTGTCAGAGGGCGAGTTCTTACAACAGCAGGGGAAGGATTAGGTGTGTCAGAGGGCGAGTTCTTACAACAGCAGGGGAAGGATTAGGTGTGTCAGAGGGCGAGTTCTTACAACAGCAGGGGAAGGATTAGGTGTGTCAGAGGGCGAGTTCTTACAACAGCAGGGGAAAGATGGAATGGATCAGAACTGACCACAAGAGGGGGAGGATGGCTGGACTAGAAGAGCAAGGGAGGTACCCAATGGTCCAGGTCTGACCTCAAAACGATGATATTGGACAGTATAGTGACCACAAAAAGACAGTGGGGTGTGATGGGTCAGGACTGTATTGTGTACAGGTGTATATATTCCTGATTAGACACTACAGGTGTAAAAATTAGGAGAGTCGTTATTGTCATGAATTCGGTTACGTATCGATATTTAAACATGGAGATTCAAGAAGTTTTAACGACAATAAAAAGACAGTGTTTAAGCAGTATTAATTACCATGTATATGGAAGTGCTACACGTTGGAGTAATCTATTCTATGTTTGAGGTCATGTGTGCATCTGAAAACACAATTTTATACATATCAATGGTGTTCTAACTGTTATATTTCCAACATACAAAGTAGAAACTATATTATGTTTCAGGTTGATTTGTGAATCTGACGATGAAATGGCGTTGTACTTACTTACAATTACAATTTAAATGGTAGTAAAAGAAATTTGACGAAGATCACAAGGACAGGTGCAGTAAAATTGCTGCTTCGGAACAGTGAGTTTTTTTGGCTTTAGAAGTTCTTTTCATTATTAACACTGAGACAGACGAGTGCTGGAGCGTTTAACGTGGTTATAAGACCGTGACTCAGTTTAAGACAGGGATGGGGGGACGGGGTATTTCACAAGTCGTGTTAAAATTTCACCAGAACGCAACATTCTTTTCATACAAATAACCTGTAAGACAAGTCTATTAAAGTGTTGTTAATGAGTGTCGTTATCCTGATTGGCGAGTACTTCTCAAGACTGAAATGTTACAAAAATACTTACACACGTAAAACTAATTTTTGAAATAAATCATTTATAACTTTTTAAAACTACTTTGTATGTATGGTCAGTTTATCAAGTGTACGGGGAAATATGATAGATTTTAAGTCCACATATGCATAGTGTCTTAAATATTTCCTTAATCAAATAAAATCTTCCAGAGTAAGTTACATAATAAACATTAAAGCTTATGTGCACAACTTGATAAATATTTGTCACAATAACCGACCTCGATCTGTTCAAACTCTGTTTTGACCATCAGATGTCCGATTTAAAGCAAGTATTATTATGTGGTCGTTTGTAATTAGCCTAGTCTGTATCAGCGGGGATCGACGTGACCAGTCTGTAGCAGAAGGTATTATGTGCCCAGTTTGTATCAGCGGGTGTTTGTGTGTATTACAGGTAGACTGATCCTACGACACGGTACAATGGGCAGTCGATCCGGACCGGTGCCTATCCCACCTGTGTAGGCAGCTCGTCAGAGCGTTAAAGGGCCCGCATTGTACGGTGTATATAGGCAGGCCGTCGTACATACCTGGAAACATTCTCGAGAAATACCTGCTACTGACAGCACGTCCTCGATTGAGTGTATCGTATACAGGTGTGACATTACACGGAGAGCCGTGATCAGGCTCGGTGCCTACAGTTTCCAATACTGTACTGGATGGAATTTTGTTGATATTTGTTTTACGTTTCGAGGGAAAATAGTGAAAATAATTAGAGACAAAACACTACCGATTTAAACGAATTCCGTGAAAATGTCTTTTATATTTGGACGACATAAGGAAAGAGATGCTGGAAAAACACACAAGTTTTACGTGGAATTCCTTGGATGGATAGAGTGCCAGGCGCTCCGGGGAAGGAAATACACTGATCCCGTGGTGAACGATCTGCGGAGGAAGCAGAGGAAATGGAGGAACGCTCCCAAGTTAACGCTACAGGTGAGCAAAAAAGAGATGAAAATTTCACAAGATATGGAAGAAAAGAAACGCAAAATCAGAACGATAAAATTTCCTAATATTCCGTCAAGAGATATTACATATGTTACTCAGGCAACTGACCCTAGCACTGGAAGACCTGATGATATTGTGGCGTGTATCTACCTCGGCTTCGTGCCGCGAACACAGAAGTATGTGCACGTGCATGTGTACAGATTTGACACACCAGAAACAGCTACAAACTTTGTTCGCATAATGAACCACATCATCAGCGGTTATGTCGATCGAGTGCGAGAAATCGAATTAGATCTGGCATCTCGTGGTTGGATAGACGATACACGATTGAATCGTTCGGACGGAATGAGTGAGCAGCACACCTCGGACTCTGCTCCTGATTCTGGAGCCAGCACATACAGTGGTGATGATGATACACTACCGTCAGACGAGATCGAACCCGACCTCCAGAGTCTTAAGGATGTTATGGCATTCGATTCCGTAACCGACGAATTAAAACAGAGGCTGAACCTCACGCCCACCAAGAAGACCAGCGGACCCTCTGCACCGATACTGCTCCCGCCAAAAGACTACGACACCATAAGCAGACGACAGGGGAACCTTGACAAGGTAGATCTTAGAAAGTCTTTGAACATCAACATTGTTGGACAAGTGGCCAAGCCTCGCTACAGGAACGGCTCAAACGAAAGTGGCGTCGACCTCAACTCTCCTTCTGATGATTCTGATGACGGCAAGGCCATTGAACCTGAGTCCCCAAGTCAGGAGACAAAACCTTCCCCGCCGTTAAGTGCAAGAGACACGGTGTACCCTCCTCGTAATGGACTGAATGAATCTTTCCATCGACACGCGCCAAACAGACAGCAGTCCTTTAACTCCGCGTACAGTAGTAACAGTTACCGGAGTGGTTCTTCGAACAACTCCAATGGACTGGGAGAATCGATGAACAGTTCTGACGCGGGTCTGAGGGTGTACAAGGGGACCACTGATATCCCCGCCGCGGACTACGACCAGGAACCTGTCATAATGAGGCGGGAGAATCAATGGAGGAGCACAGACATGGGACGTTCAGTCGCGTTCGCACAAGACTTTCAAGGAAGGAGGAGAATTACTTCCCCTTCAATGACTCTTCACGAGGAAGATGGACCTGTATATGCTGTTGTGAATAAACAAAGGCCAAGATCAACACGTGATATACATTTCCATGAAGGATATTCCCCAAAGATGGGTGACTTCCGAGTTCGGCGGACGGTTTCTATGTATAATAAGTAAAAAAAAAAAACATGAAATGTAAGATATAGTGAAAACTGTTGCCAAAGATCTTCTTAGAAATCCTGAAAGTGTCTGATTATATCGACAGGAGGAAGGACTCGTTGTTGTAAACAGAACACTATTTGGTATGATTTTCGTGTTTGAGTTAGAGACTGCGGTGACAACAACGCGAAAGTGGTCCGGGACATGTTGGGGCAATATTTGTACTAGTTTCCATTCCAGACTTTCGATCCCTCTCTCATAGGGATAAACAATTGAGAGGGGTTCCCGAGTGGAGGCTTGTAACATTGGATAAGTACTAATTGATCCGACAAGGAGGATTTATACTCTACAGGATGACACCAGACTATATGTTTGTAAAGGTTCTGTTTTCGTGATGTAACGACACTGGTACAACTAAAGCGTTAGCTGTATCACATTGAAATGTGGAATATAAATCTTAGCACTCAAAATGATCCCAGGTAAGACTTCCACTTACACCCAAACGCATTGTGTAAAAAATTACATCTTGTTCATAAATTTTTCATACAGCTTTAATATATCATATACTATTTTCTATCACATAAGTTCTTAAGGTTTGGGAGAAATGGAGGTTTTACCTTAGCGACCATTGAATTAATTTGCTATAATACTTGAAAAACGTTGGATACAGCTAAACTGTAGAGGTTGAACTTTTGCACTGAGAACAATTTATTGTGATAGAAAGCCAGTGAGAACTGTGTTCAGACAAGGTCTATTTTAAGTATACTCAGAATAACTATTACCTGTTAATAATCAATATCATTTGTTATTGTGCGAGAGTGAAGGTTGTCAATGTACTAGTGACCGTGGTCATTTGTTATGACTGATGGTCAGTTACATATCTGATTAAATCAAAATCACGGTTTGTCTTTTAACCTCCAGGATAAGAGGAAACAGTTTCTTTAAATTTAAGTTGGTCACATGATAATGTTTGACCAGGTTATGTACTACAGATACGTGTAAATATTGATGTTACATTCTGGTGCATTGGCTCACAAAACAGGCCTTTAGATGGCAGCAGATTTTGCAAACTCTGATTACTGGACATTGTAAGGAACCAGTGTATTTTAGTAGGCTGTGACTACCTCGTACTCACCGATCTGGTTATGGCTTAATGCCTAAGATCAAATACTTGTACACGGGCCCGTTTACAGAGTTGTTCCTGGCCCTAATATAACCTACCACCTAAATAGATTTAGGACTAATCGATTAGCACATTGTTAAATTTAGACCTGAGTTCGGAAAATTTACTTTCCGATTCTTTTCAACACAAAATATTTCTTTTTTTAAAATCATTATTTTCAATTTGTTCTTATCATTGTTTTGGACTCATTTTTAAAGATAATATGACGCAAATTTGCACACTTATGGTCTAGAGACGGCTTTCGTGAGGTCTAGCATCAGCTCCATTTTCAAGACGTGACTGTAATTTTGGGATGAACGAGGACAGTGTCCTGTTACTATAGAAGGTTCTTCTCACTAACTCCAGTTACAGAGAGCTACACTCGTCTTAACTGTCTCACGGCCTCGGGACTTCGGTAATGACATTTGGAACATCGCCAAAATATTTAAAGAAAAATATTCTATTTAAAACATAGAAAGAGAAATGTTTTAAATACCATAGTCCAACAAAAGGAAGTTATATTGATCCTTTATAGATTTTTTTCCGAATTAGACTTAAATTGTCCGGGAATAACTGATTTGTATCAATGTTTTTGGTAACAGTGTGTCGTTTTTGTGTTGTATCTGTCGTTATTGTATCGCCGGTAACATTTAAACACAATAGTTACCAGTACAGGAAAACAACGACCTAGTCCGCCCTAGGAACTAAATCTCTTTGTCATCAAAGTCATGTGCTCGTTATATAACATGTAATCTGGCTGAACTATCTGACAACACAATTACCTGTTTCTACCTGAAAGAATGGATTGTTTCCGTGGTGGTATATTCTGTTAGAAAAACTCATCAAAGAGGGCGATTTTGTTTTGTGGTGAATTTCGAATTTTGAAATAACCGATTTGAGTCACGCGCCAGTTAATTTCGAATGCTCTCACCTGCTTGTATCACCTGACACCGAGTCGATCCGTTTACTTGTAACACCTGTTTTATAAAACCACTAATAAAGCCCCAAATGTTGGGATATATATCGTATCTCAGGCAAATTCTTCCGATAAATGTGTAAAATTCCAGCAAATTATTTCAATAATTTGATTTTACTGTTTGATATGGAATTGTTGAGAGTTACGTGAACTGAGCTCCATCGTAAGTTGTGGGCCGTAGACATCTTTTGATCTTAAGCGTCTCTAAAAGATGACAGATGACGAACGACTTCAGTGAAACTGTGAGTCAAAAAAGCCCCGAAACAAATCTCACGTCGCAATAAAAAGATGGATGATGTTTTTAGTTACAAATGATAATAAACTGCTAGAGTTTGTGAAGTGTAGCGGATCAAACTCTCTGTACCTGATATCATTTGTATATCATAATGTGCAAGGTTTTATATTTTATATCTTAAAACAAATATGTATTTGTTCAAATTTTCGACCTACTTTCAACTTCTGAAAGTACTCTTTGTAAATCAAAAGAATTTGTACCACGAAATGTCTTCATAGATGTATGTATGTATATGTGTGAATTACACAACATTATTTGGCTGAATGTAATTATACCATTTAATTTTCAAAATAAACGACTTTTACGTTGTTAGGTATCTATCTGTCACTTACACTAAATTATATTAGATAACACATATCGTTGTTTACATATATCGATTACATGGCAAAATATGTACATTATTTTTTTGTTTACATCCGTGTGCAAGTAAATAGAATTTATCAATTTAATCTTCAACAAAAAATATCCCTTGACTTATTTATATTTTCCCACTATGTATGAGTGACCCAGTGATTGGATAACTTTGAATTTCGAATGTGTTTGAAGGAATACCTGTCTGTGATGAATCACGTTGTGACGAGAGGATGGACGAGATTTGTTATTGTTATAGTTTGGCGTGTGAATGTTGAATTTTCAGGGCAAATAATACTTGTTATTCTTGTTTTTCGAATAAATTTATATTTTATATATTATAATGGCATTGTTTCTTTTTTATTTTCTTCTTGAAATATCTCAAGCTGATTGTCATTCAGGAGCCAAACTTCGAGGAGCACATAGCCTTTAGATATTGAAATTACGACCTTTTTTCGAATTGACATTTGGAAACGTTACTTTTGTGCATTGAAATTTGAGAATATGTATCAACTCGTTGACGAGTCGAAGGGAGAAAATGTTACCAAAATGAGGCGAGAAATTTTCTGAAAATCGCTTGATATTGTTAACAAAACATTATAATAATCTTCCACGAAATGGCCTCCAATGTCAAGTCTATATTTGTGATATGAGAATTATCTCCCACGAAATGGCCCCTTAGATCAAGCTTTGTTATTTGGATAAGGGATGGTACTAGATGAGGCTGAACGAAACAGCTGCTGACAAGAATAGCACCGTCTTCTTCAATGAACAGAGAAATTAATCAAAACCTTCCAATAGGTGGTATTTTTCTTTATTGCTGTTGTTCTGAAGGTTTACAATAGTGTTGGAAATTCTCCATTGCGACAGGTATTGTGGTACTGAATGTTGTTGTTTGTGATGGTAATCTTACATGATGGTTACCATTTTGACAGTATTCTTCTTTGGTTATGTAACATTACATTAGCCGCAATACAATCCTCTACTAGAATGAACTTCTCTTAAGCTCGATCGGTTGGGTGCCAGAGTGGCCAGAAATCCAGGGTTCGAATCCTAGCTGAGGCATTGACAGGAAGGACATCGCGGTGAGATCTCGTGATTAAGACGATGTACCCGTATTTAAACATTGGCGCAGTCAGCCTTCCTCCAATCGAGCACTGACACGGTTAAAATTGTACAGATATCATTGCGCTAGATGTGTGAAATTTTGCAAGCTTCATGCTCCGCTGATTCGGGTATCTTAACTGGCGATTTCTCAAGCACATTTTTCATAATCTACTGTGCAGTCATTCGATTTGTCGTTTATCTTATTTCACGTCTAGACACTGGCGCGGCTTTAATGATAGAGCTCGCTTAAAATTTAATGTTGAAATGTTCACAATTTATTTGCCGTAATTTCCTGTGTGGGTAAATTCCCACTTTTGTTATGCTGTTGCAAATCCCGCTTTCGCATTCCTGGAAATTAAGACGATATATTTGTACATCAAGGCCTGGTACACCGCTTAGAAGAAACTTTATCCCGATGCAAACAACAATAGGAAGTGAACAGTAAAAAGCAACTTGAGTTCTGTTCTAGAATTCAACGTTGTGAATCGTCAGCCATATGGCAGAAGCCAGGATTAACATCAACCCCTTCACTTGTAAACATATCTCAACAGAGACTTTTCACTGGCAAAATCTTTGAATCTGGTTTCTAATTACTGATATAAAAAAAAATCACAAGTTTCATTGATACCAAACGCAAATGAACGTCACAACGACGTCACAATGACGTCACAATCAAAGTCTTTAACTTGACGAGTCAATTACTCTTCCAGATTTGTTTGGAGACAGCGATATCAGCAATAAAAGACTACAAATTACAGGGGCCTATATTGGCTAAGTATTTTGTTAACATACTACCATAGGTTTCTGGTTATTGCAGAAGACAAATAAGTTATTATTGTTTGTGCTTAATCCATACTACATATGATTATGAAAATAAAATTATGTTTAAGATTCTTAAACTTTGAAATATTAGTATACTTACATTTGACTTGGGCTACTTAACAGAATGGTTAAGATATGTAGAAGTAAGGTACACGTTAATCTGAACGCAATCTGGATTGTAATCTGCTGACCCGTTAAACCACAATATCTGACACTCAATTTGGAAGATTACCAGAAGTACAAGGCGATAATCTCTGTGGAATGGTGTAAAATCTATTGTCACAGATCCGATAAAAGACAGCCGTCACCACACACGGCTACTTGTCAGTGGATCAGTACAGGCTT